GATATCTGGGGTTCTGTGCCAACGCGTCAGTATCTTATAATTGCATTCCTGAAACTTTGAGCTAATGGTCCCCTGTGCGTCAGTTGGAAAAAATTTTGCCACTCCGTATCCGTCAGCTCGATCCCTGTTTCCCTTTCCCAGCGTATCTTGAAGCCTAAGGGGCTGTGGTCTCCGCAGTTCTGCAGCATGGAATATAGGTGTGAGATGCCGTGGGGGATATGCTGTCTGGATACGCAGAGTTGCTCGAAGTAGGACAGTGCGCGGTGAAGGTGAGCCGTCCCAGCGAGGGAGGCTACATATGTCTTGAGCTGGTAGTAGCGATATCTGTCTAGGGTGCTCGGTTCGCGGTCTCGGAGGAGCTCCGCAAGTGGTTTAAGGGCTGGTCCGTTACACCACTGGTGTAGGTATGTCCAGTACGCGGCTCCAAAGGACTGCAGGTCTCCCGGGGAAAGTCCCCCCGCCAATCTTGGATTATGTGTCACAGGTGTAAGCGGATTTGGAGACGACGTAAGTTTTTTAGAGTAGCGAATGCTACACCACACTTTCAGTGTAGCATCTATCAACGGGTTACCTGTTTGCAGTTCCTGGAACGTGGCCCCTCCCAGCCACAGTTGGGCAGGGATTTTGCCTCCTCTAGCCTGTAACTTCTCCATATCTACCCATTGTTTACCGCTTGGGGCTGCATGCCAGTCCACTAGACGGTAAAGGTGCGATGCCTGGTAGTACATAACGGCTGAGGGTAAGCCCATACCGCCCTCACTGCGGGGGCATTCTAGGATCTCCTGCCGTACCCGAACAGGTTGCTGGTTCCACACAAACTGTCGAAAGGAGGATGATAGTGTCTGGAAGAAGCTCCGTGGGACCGAGATCGGGAGCGTCTGAAACAGGTACAGTATGCGGGGCATAACGTTCATTTTGATGGCGTTGATACGACCAAACCAAGATATGTATTGCGGGGCCCAGCGCCTCATGTCTTGTTGCAGAGTTGACAGTAGAGGGGCAAAATTCATAGAATAGATTTGGGCTAGGTCACACGGTAACCAGACACCTAAGTACCGCAATTTGGTCGGGCAAATCTTGAAGGGGAAGTGCGCCTGGACATGTCTCCGGAGGGATGGGCTCCGGGAAAGAGGCATCAATTCCGATTTTTCTAGGTTGAGTTTCAGATTGGAGACTGAGCTATAGGCTCGAAAGGCTTCCAGTAGGTTCGGCAGTGAAATCCTTGGCTGTTCCAGGAGGAAGAGCATGTCGTCCGCATAAGCGGCCACCCGATGCTCTCCCCCCCCCAACCGGCACCCCGTTATACCCCCATCCCGTCTGACCGCCTCCAGGAAAGGTTCCAGGGTGAGGGCAAACAGGAGGGGGGACAGGGGGCATCCCTGCCGCGTGCCGTTGCTAATGTTGAACGAGCCAGTGAGCGCACCGTTAACTCTGATTCGCGCAGTCGGCTTGGAGTACAGCGCCGCCACCCACATCCGCAAACCAGGTCCAAAGCCCATATGCTCCAGAGTCTCCAGCATATATGTCCAATCAACTCTATCGAATGCCTTCTCGGCGTCGGTGGAAAGCAGCACCATCTCCTTCCCAGTGGTTCGAGCTAGGTGGATAGAGTTGAGGGCCCGAATGGTATTATCTCGGGCCTCCCGACCTGGAATAAACCCTACCTGATCTGAGTGGACGAGATCCGGCAGAGACCTAGCCATCCGGAGAGCCAGGGCTTTAGCAAACAATTTGATGTCCGCGTTGAGCAAGGAAATCGGCCTGTAACTAGCACACTCCACGGGGTTCTTGCCCTCCTTAAGGAGGATCGTGACTGTTGCCCTCAGTGAATCCTCATGGAACCGACCCCCGTCCCGCAGGGAGTTTAGCCCCATCACCAGGCGGGGCAGGAGGACATCCCGGAAAGCACGTAGGTAGGAGGCTGGTAAGCCGTCCGGGCCCGGTGCCCGATGAGCCTTGGTCGCCTTCAGAGCTCCCGAGAGTTCCTCTAACGTCAAAGGAGCCTCAAGATCTGCCGTCTGCTCCTGGGAGAGTCTGCGTGCGACGTGGTTCTGTAGGTATGCCGCGATCCTGACCTTGTGCCGGCTGTCCTCCGACGCCGAGCGGCCCCATGTCTGATCATACAGTGCCGCGTAGTACTCCTGGAACGCACCCAGGATGCCATTTGGGAGGCGCGTAATGTCCCTCCCGCCCGTGCGTATTTTATGGACATGTTGCAACCTGCGCTTCTCCCGAAGCATCCTCGCCAGGAGCTTCCCACACTTATTGGAATGTTCATAATAGTATCTAGTGGCCCTCCTCGCGGTAAACATCACCCCCTGCGACAGAATATTTTTCAGTTCTCTACGCACCTCCACAAGTTTAAGATATGTGCCCTCGTTCAAAGACTGTTTATGGGTCCCCTCCAGATCTGCGATGCGCGCTGTCAAGCTCGCAATGCGGGCCAGTCTGTCCTTTTTGCGCCTGGTACTCTCCGCGATGAAGAAGCCCCGAATGACACATTTATGCGCCTCCCAAAGCCCTAGGGGACACAAGTCCGGGTCCTCATTGGTGGCGAAGTAGTCCGCCAGAGCGCGGGCCGCCTGCGTAAATGCCTTATCGTCCAGCATGGTTTCGTTAAGCTTCCACTGACGCTCACTAGGCTTGAATAGCGGGGAGCTGGTATGAACCAGGACTGGTGCATGATCCGAGTGGTCCAGGATGCCTATGCGCGAGCCCTGCAAGAGGTTTAGAAATTCTTGTGCCAGGAAGACATAGTCGATGTGGCTGTACCGTGCGTGCGCTGCGGAGTAATGGGTGTAGTCCCGCTCGTCTGGATTGCAAGCCCTCCAGCAATCCACCAGTCCTATCTTGTGCAGAGAGCGTTGGATCTGCCTGATGCATGGTGCCGGGAGCGTGGTTGCGCCCCTGGAAGTATCAAGCAGTGGGTCCAGCGGTATATTGAGATCCCCCGCAAGGACCAATCGTTTTTCGGGCGTATTGAGCCCTTGTATATTATTGGACCAATAGGTCATCCGTGCTGGAACAAAGCCCCGGCCGGGCGCCATCACCGCAACGGAAGGGCGCCCCCGCAGCGGCACAAGTGGTAATGTGGAGCATTGGGAAAAGTAGTAAAGTCAAGTCAAGTACACAAGGTCGTGAGAAGACCTCCCACCGCCCTCTGGGGGCAACGTCGACCCTTAGCCGGGGGTACGAATCTCTCCCTTGGGATAGAGGTTACCCGTTCGAGGGACCCCGGCTCTATTTACAAAAAAAAAGGGTCTGTCTCAGCGGGGATCAAAAAAGGCCCCTGACTGTATTGGCGTTCCCACTAGATGTATTAGTCAGAACCGCCCCTGTTTCCGTCGGCTCCCACCCTGTGTGTCAGGTATGCGTGTGTCCAGCAACTAGTGTAGAGATATCGTGAGGAAAACCAAATGAGTCCACTCCCCCCCGAAGCCCCAGCCTATCCCCCCGCTAGATATAGGCCTACAGCCATAGGGAGCCGGTAACCTTTCCGAAATTCCCCCTCATCTCCCTCCTGCAACATCCAGGGGTGGCTACTGGCATGAGAGGGCCCACCCCAGCTTAGCTGCTGAACCCACCACGAAGCTCCGGCTCCCTCTTCATTCCAACTGGTCCCCACTCCCACCCTCCCCCACTCTGGACCCGCCTCCTCTCCCTCCCGATACCCCCCCTCAGCTCCTGTCCCCGCACCCCCCGGCCACCGTGCTATCATCCACTCACTGCTAACCCGTGCAGACAGGCTGCGCAAAGACCCACTCATCAGCTCCCATCAGTCCCCTCCACTCCCCCCCAGATGGGAAATGGAGCGGGAAAAAAAAAAAAAAAAGGGGAGTAAAAGAAAAATAGATAAAAGGTACTAATGACGGGGGGGGGGGGAAAGAAGGAGACCGCTGCGTATGTCCCAAACCAGCCCCGGTGTCCCCAAGCAGCCCCAAGGTCCGCCGGGCTCCCCCGGTCTTCAACGTCCCCTGGGCCCAGACCAGACCAGCCTGCCCGCCCCACTTATAATGGATCCCGCCTGGTAACCCCAGCCCTAAAGCTACCAAGCCCGCAGAGCCCTTCCCACCCCACCTAAATGCTAACTCCCCACCTGTCAGCCACAGACCGCTAACATTCCTCCACTAAGCATACCCCACCAGTGCTGTCCGGTGGCCACGACCAAGTCACCAAGGGTCCTTGCAGGTACAGGTCTGCGGGATCCCGGCGGACCAGGCTAACCGCTGCTATTCTTCAGGGCCATTTGGCCCCCCTCTGCGTCGTTGGGGCTCCTGATCCGGGTGCAGGTTGTGCGCCATCTCTGATGGGCCCACCGCTCTCGCCGGCGGACCCTCCAGGATCCAGTTCGGGACGGCGACATGGGGAAGGCCAGCGCTGCGGAGGAAACGAGGAATGTCATTAGGCCATTTTAGAACATGCCACATGTTGTCCACTCGGGCCTGAAGACTGAAGGGAAAGCCCCACTTGTACGGGATCCTTCTCTCCTGTAGTAGCCAGGTAAGCGGCCTCAGGGCCCTCCTGGCGTCCAGGGTGGTCTGCGACAAGTCCTGGAACAGGGACACCGGAGAATCCATGTAGCTGAGGTCGGGTCGGGAGCGCGCTGCTTTCATCAGCTCCTCCTTGAGCGGGAACGACACCAGGGCGCAGATCAGGTCTCTGGGAAGGCCATCCCGTCTGGGTGCCCGGAGAGCCCTGTGCGCCCTCACGATGCCAAAGTCCTCCGGAGCCGCCTCACCCAGCAGGTGCGTGAACAGGCCGTGGAGTATTTCCTGCGGGCTCTCCCCCTCTGCCTCCGGCAACCCCCGGACCCGAATGTTATTCCGCCGGCCCCTATTGTCAAGGTCCTCGACCTGACGGCGGAGGTCCAGAAGCAAGTTCCCCTGCCGAGTGGTGGCCAGATCCACCGCCTGCTGCCGGTGAGCATTCTGTATGCGATCACCGTCTAGGGCGTCCACGCGGTGCTCCAGGGCTGTCAGGTCTGCTCTCACCGCTGCGATCTCCTCCCTGATCACTGCCCGCAGCTCGGCAACCATCTCAGATTTGTCCCGCCTAGTGAGCATGCTAGAAGAGATTGCCGCTATATCCATCGATATTTGTGATAGGGCCGCCGGATCTATGGTGCCGCGGGATGAGCCGGCAATGCTGGAGCCCGGAGAGGCGGGAACTGAAGAGGCTGTGTCATCCTGCAGGCCTCGAGGCCCCGTAATGAAATCGTCCATCGGGCCGGATTGGGACCGTGACAGAGCCCCCCCCGGGCTGCCCAGAGCTGAGTGTTCTCTTGGTTTTCCCCATTTTTGCTGAGTGGGATAACGGCTGGAAGCGAATTAACTGAGGCTTTACAGGGTGAGGCCTAGGAGCACAGGCACCGTGTGTCTCACTCCATCAGTGGTCAGGCCACGCCCCGTAAAACTGCTTTTGATATTTTGTCAAAAGGCTTAGCAGGACTGCAGGACCTTAATGGCTGCACCCACATCCTGCATTATAACCACTTTGACAAGTTGCAGCAGTTATGGTTATTATTATTATTATGATATTTATAGAGCGCCGTCAAATTCTGCAGCGCTTTACAATGGGTAAGGAGAGTATCTTTAAACTTTGCAGTTTGAAGTAAAAAAAAGTATTTTGGGGTTTTAATAGTGGTCTAATGGTTTCCATGGCGATTACTATAGTTTTAGAACTCTGTTCCTTAATTGTTCATTATAAATAACCCATGTTCTATCTACATAAGATAACACCAGCTAATTAGCAGATTGTATTGATCCTCAAGACACATGGCATCCTGGATGAGGGTGCGTGATAGAAGGTGAGCTGGTGTACGGACCCACTGCCACTCATGACATCCATGTCTGTGTCCATTTTAATGGTGAAGGATAAAGAGGCTAAGGAAATTCATAGCAAAATTAACCATTTTTATCTACACATTTGCTAGCAATTTGTCTAGCACAATATATAAATGAAATTTTACTCTCAAAAAATATCTTGCATTGCAAACATGACAGGAGTGTCACTTTATAAAGAGCTGTACGGAAGTGGCCCATCCATCCCCTCTTTCAATTCTTTGGCAGCTAGTAGAAGTATTGGATAATTACCAACACAATTCATCAGGCCCACTTTTTATTTCTTGAATAAAAAACAAACAAACAACAACTACTCCCATTAAAATACTATTTGTTTTTATGGAAATCATCAAAAGAATAGTAATTAAAGAGTTACTCTAACCCTTTCTTTTGGGGTGGAATTAGGTCCCCTTACATTTTACAGTAAATCCTGCAAAAAAAGTATTTTTTTCCTAACCTGGAATTCAGCACCTGACCTTCCATGACTCCTTCCATCAGCTAGGGTCTCGTGCAGTCCAATCAGAGGATTCCCTGTGTTTGACAATTTTACCGGCTCAGAGCCAATCTGAACAGCTCAGGGGAGGGAGAAAGAGTGGGAAATTCAATAAAAAACAAACAAGCAATATTGAGTTTACAGTGAGGCAGGGAACAGAACAATGACGGAGAGAGGCCAGAAAAAAAGACATGTGTGCTAGGGGTGTAACTAACTAACCCCCAGCGCAAGAGGGCACATTACTCTGTATGTGCAGTGCTTCAAGCAGAAACGATGTACAGACAGATTCCTACCCCCATGACCACTTCAAATCACTGAAGTTGTTATGGTGATTAATATAATCCTTTAATTTTAAATCCACTCAATCATGCTAATATTACCTAGGATTTAGTGGAATGCCATAATTAACAATTTTGTAGAACTTTATATCTTGAGTCAAAGTAAACCAGGTGTTTTAGATTTATGTGTGTCATAATGTATATAGTAGTATAAATGGTAGTTGCACTCTGGGACTTGTTATGCAAACGTTACTTTATTTTAAAACTGTCATCTAAAATGTCAACGTTTCAGTTTCTCTTGGAAACTTTCTTCAGGACAATCAATATATAATATAATATAATATATATTTTTTTTATTTTCATGTTTTATTGATAGCACATGGGTACATCAGCAGGAACAAGTACTGACAGAATAGTAAAATCGAAGTTGGTACATCAGTTGGGACTTAACAAACAAAATGGAGGTCATAGAAAAGGTGAAGCCCCCCTACAAGTAGGCTTAACAAACAGGAAAACCGAGGTGTCTCAGCTTGTAAGACTGCATTTCACTGAATCTCCAACAATACAAGCAGTAGGTTATTTCTTGACAAAATTTGCATTTATTAAGAAAAATATCACTTCCTGACAGGATTTCTAGCAAAACTCACTTCAATCAGGGCATATGACTTATTATTAATATTGTAAAAGGAAAAAAAGTTCATATAACAATGAATTATGATCTTCACAACTGGAAGACTCGGTTACACAACATCTTGTCATTCATTTAATTAGGAGGCGGTAATTGTCACAGTTTTTTGACAGGACAGTTTCATGGTTGTGTTATATCAAGCTCACACACACAAACACACCAGGAGTACGGGGCTTCCACAACCGACAGTATCATACGATCTGTCTCACATAGAAGCTCAACTTTTAAAAAATAAAGTGCGCTGTGCCTTTAAATCGTGACTTCGATTTATGTGCAGTATGTAATTAAAAAGTGCTTAACAGCAAAGAAGTGCTTTTTGCAATATTGTATAAACCTATTAACTCGTGTTTAAGTGCAACAAAACAGATATGTGCAAAACCTACAATGTTAAAAGGGAGAAATATTACTGACAGTGCTTATGGTGTCAGTGCCCTCTAAGTTTAAGCAATAACAAAAATTATACTTGCATTATGCAGGGTTCCACATGAAAAAGAAAGAAATTAAAAATACATAGCATAATATTGTTTGGATAATAGATAATGTTTCAAAACCAAAGTGTGGAGCAGGTACAAGACTGCTCAGGCTATAAGTGCTTTTCAATGTATCTCCTCTTCTATGAAGAGGAAGACGATGGATAGCCGAGATCAAGGTAAATATAAACTTTATTCCATAAAAACAGCTTTTAAGACCAACTGACTGGGATAATTATTTTGTATAAATTTACCCTGCCAATATCTCTGCCTGTTAATCATACTCCTCCTTACTGGTACAATTTCTCCTAATTCTCTGGAATTGGCCCTTATTTATACTTGTAGGCCACGGTGTATAGTGACTACTGTTAGATAGTACATAATTGTTGGCATCCACCTTCTTAAAAAAGTTTTTTGTTTTAATTTCTTTACCCTCAACATGTATATCCAGGTCTAAATATACAGCTTTGTTCTTATTATATTGGCTGGTAAGGGTGATATCCCAATCATTATTATTTATTCTACTTAAAAACGTGTCTAAAAGATTTACAGGTCCATCCCAAATAAGAATCAGGTCATCTATGTATCTTCGGTAGGAGACCAGGTTTGCCTCCCATTCAGGGCTGTCATAGATAAAAACTTTTTCCCACCCTGACATAAATAAATTTGCATAACTGGGGGCAAACCTGGCCCCCATAGCTGTACCTTGTTCTTGCAGATAAAATTGGGAATTAAAAAAAAATAATTATTAGTCAATGTCCAATAAATACTATCCATACGAAAATCTATTAGTTCAATTGAGAGCTTTCCAGATTCCTCTAGACATTTCCTCACTACTTCGCACCCTAAGTTATGCCTAATTGATGTGTATAAGGATGATACGTCACTCGTTACTATGACATATGTATCTTTCCACTCTATTCTTCTCAACACTTTTATTATATCCGCTGTATCTTTCACATATGATGGCATCAATTTCACTAGGTCCTGTAGATAAATATCAATATCACATAGAAGTTCTACTGCACAGAAGAAAGAAATCAAGAAGGTCTCCCGGCCACAAGCCCACTGAGTATTTCAGTAATATACAATTGGAATTCAGAGGCCTCCGGGGAGAGGAGTAAAAGTAATTAACCTCAAAACCACTATTTGAGGTTGAACCTCCAAATATAGCACCCATGGGTGCAAAGTATTTTTGAATCTCTGTGGAATTGTGGTAGATGGGTTTTTCCATTATTATGATATGCTCCACTCTAAGATCACAATCTTTAGGGGTAGGGGAGTCAGTGGGGTTCCAGAAGCATGGTATTATGGACTTTGCTGGATTAAGAAGATGGCATACAAGGGATTTGCTGTAGAAGATGGCATACAATGGATTTGCTGTAAACGTGTGGACTACTGGAGGAATAATGTAGGAGGACAAAGGGTAGGTCAGTTAAGACTGGATATTGTGTGACCTGGTTGATCTGCTGGAGTAAAGCTTCCCAGTAGGAACATATCTTCAAGCAGGTCCACCATATATGCAGTTAAGGGCCTTCCACCTTCCAGGCACCTCTAGCAATCTGAAGAAGAGGTTAGGAAGAGCTAATGCAATGAAGCTGAGGTTCTATATCGCCTCATCAAAAAGTTGTAGCTTGTTTCTTGCATTGCAGTTTGCATGGTAGACTTATGTGTGACTTTTGAAATCTGAGTCCGTTCCTTGCTTGACAGAGTAGCTCTCAAATCTGTGTTCCATGCCCTGGTGTCTTTTTGTAATGGGAGGGATTGTGGAGTGAGAGAGTGTTTTCTGTAAAGAGTTTCAAACATGGAGACATCAGATATATGTTGCAATGACATTGTATAGACAGCCAGACACAATAAGCAATGCCAGCCAAGAAGTAAGGGCACAAAAAAAATCAAAGCACTAGAGAGTTCATAGTGAAAGGTGTCTAAAGATTTTTCAGCACTGCTTAAGTAACTTGGGCACTGATCCAAATACTATTGTTTCTATAATCAAGAACAGGTTGTTTTTAGTGATCAATCTTTCAGCCACTGAGAATTCTTCCTGTAATACAGCCTCAAGTTGAGTATGAAAATAATCTTACATTGTGTCTGGGTTAGATGTGACAGCTCACCTTTGATGCAATGATTATTTGTTTCTTTGTGTTAGACTCGAACACTCACGCCAATGGATGTTTGCCACTTTGATAAGTAAGCACAATACCTACATTGTGCAATATAGCGTGGAGTGAAAGACATTTATAGGAGGATTTTACTGATCATCTCTGAAACATTTAATTCAATTATATATGTTGATTATAACTGACATAGATCCATTTTGATCCCAATAACAGTCTGATTAACACAGGAAAAATCTTAATCCCAAAAATATAGGGCACCTTTGCTTAGGGTGTCGATAATGAAGGACAGCAGAGGACATTAATGGGTTAGAAAGATCACTCACGAGCCCCTCT